TGGTGATCTATATAGAAGTGCATGTGTATCGATCAATCGCTACGTCATAGACGTACGAAGGATACGGCCGGTTGTTGGGAAACACGCGCAGCGTGTTTTCAGCATATATGCATGTTGATGAAGTTTTCCTTGTTCTTGAAGATCGGTCCCCACGCGCCATATTTATCATCCTTCCTCGGCTGGTGTTGCTGATAATGTCGTAATTGTCGATTTCGCGATTCCTGTTGAGGTTGTTCCTTGTCTTTCCTATGTTAGAACAACGTAATACTTTTTATCAGCGTATCATCTACTTTATGTGCGCGCAATAATAAATTTGCTACAACTACTTTTAGTTATAGCCAGTAAGCGTACATCAAGCTGCTGTGTACATACTTGATATCCTGGTAAGGCTCCTTGATCATGGCTTCGCTCACGTTGGTATATACCATTTTTTTTAGTTTGTGAATCCCAGCTGACGAGCGAGCGACTTTATATTTCTTTTATATTGCTTGTAGTTTTCGGTTGGACCAGTCGAGACCGATCGAACGTAATCTGCCCCAACGATGAACAATGGCTCGGAGATAGTCCGTTAAACTTGCTATTTGATCCTATCGGTCGCCGCAAATACAGAAATCGCCTTTACCTCTGCGAAAAGAAATGCTTGATTTTTATATCTAAAAATTGTATATCTAAAAAGACTTATCTCCCCAAGTCGTGTATTCTACATACTCTATGGCACGTGATGCAAATGGACCAGAACTAACAATTCAAGCCGATTCCCGGCGTTGCCTCGTCGACTTCCCTTGCGAGTCCGGAGGTTTTTGGCTAACCTATGGCACGTTTCAAAGGTATGTGAGTGAGTGTAAAAGTATGATGATGAAATATGACGATCATGTATCAATGGTAACGACGCCGACGGCAGCAATCGTCCGCAAAGATTTTCCAAGTGATCGCATTCTGTTGTTTGTTCGGCCATTCGCAAGTCGATCGAATACATCATTATTTGCATCTTCTCCGGAGACCGGAGGAAGAAATCGAGCAATTGATGAAATTGCGATTTTTCGAAATGTGATTGTTGTTGAATCGAGGTTTCAATTTTTCAGTCAGATTAGTTGCAATCGAAAGCTTGTATTGACGTTTATGCCACAATATTTTCAATTATACGGCTTTATACTTCCAAGAGACTTGAATCGAAAGTACGACGATGCGATAACTTCGGTAAAAGCTACTCAGCGCTGCGACGTTATATGCCATATGAACATAATCATATTTGGGCCTGCATTTATATTATATCTCATGTATATCGATCCTAAATTTTTATCTATTCGTCGCGAGGAGCTCGATTTCGGCGACATTTCGGCAACATGAACTTTACAATACAATACGATACAAATTTACGACTATTGAGATACATACAAAAATAAGTGGAATATGGTGATTATTTAATTTCATGTCGCAACATTATGTCTATGGAAATTTTACGTGATTGAAATGCATCGTTACTCGCTTGAACCTTCTTTGTTTTTTTTTATGTATTTCAAGTTTCAAATGTCGATATTTCGTATTCTTTTACTACGATATAACAGTGCTTTGACGTTCGGCTTAAAAATATGGAAAAAATAGTAGACACGCACGCACGCACGTACGCACGCGCGGGTATAAAACCGAACGAGAGTTTCGATACATTCGTCGACGGAATGTAGGTCGACGCAGTGACGTGCGTTAAAACGAACAACAACTTTTTATATTTAATAATGTATGTCGAGTCGAGTATAAAGTGGTGGGAGATAAATGGCAAACGAGTGACAGAGATTACAAGAGCTGCGGACACTAATCACTGACGAGTGTCCAGACGAGAGCAAGGATTCGTTAAATTTGATCGGCTATCTAGGACGATTGACGTCAAAGATAAGGACAATTGAGCAAAGATACGCTCATTCGTCGGACGCACGATAAAAGTAACAGATGATGTTGACTTTTGTAGAAAAAAGGACGATCGATCGAAAGGTCGATCGACGAGAGCTATGTCAAACCTGTTTTATCGCAGTTTCCGACGCTTACCTGACGCTGGGTAAGAAAGTTGGGGAATTGCCTTGACGGTCTAAGACTTTGCACCTCATCGACACATAGGTCTTGACTATCGATGTGGAGCACTTTACTCTTGATCCCGTGATGGGGGTCTCGCGTCGAGTTAATACACTCTTGATGATCCGTACGACGTACGTACGACGGATCAGATCGAGATGGTTTTGGCCGGACACGTCGACTCTTGGAAATTTGGAAACAAATGTTGCGGACCCTCACGTCCAAGGAGACTGCTGCTACTCCGGAGATCCAGTTGCTCTTACATAGTCTCTGGCTGTCCCCTTCTTCGCTCATTGACCACCATCGAGTGGGGACAAACGTGGCTACTAGATGGATATAACGATGGCCACTTGAACGAAGGATGAAAACGATAGCGGCTGTTATATCTATTCGTTGATTGTCTTCTGTCAGCTGTCATGTACTATATCAAAAAAAAAAAAAAGAAAAAAACGCCGGGGAACTGCCGATGTTTGGAATAGCGACGGTTCGAAAGATCCGAGAGAGATTGCATCGACATTTTTTGTCCATACGACCGCGTGTCGTAATCACTGAGCCTGCCTTCTTCCGGCGACTATCTTTGTAATTTCGTTCATTTTTCTTCCGTGTCTGAAAGATCGAAGAAACACGACTCGTTATGTGCCAATGAACTAGCAGAAATTCGCAGAAAATAAATTAATTTGAAACTTGTATATTTCTTCGGACTTCTGTTCCGATGATTTGAAGTGTCAGGGTTATTAGCAACGTCCTTTATTGTCGTTTAATCATTTATGGAAATATTTTCCTCCTCTTCCCCCGAATCATTTCTAAAGAACATGGCATATATACGTCACGAATAGTGAGAACATGAGAAGTTTTCTTTTTGCATTAACGGAACATTACACGCGCGCACACACATATCTGTTGTCGTGGAAATCCGTATATAATTCATTGATCTGATAAAGAGATTTTACAATAATGCAATTATTTGACTGATGAATCTACATGTATATGACACAAAAAAGATACTCGATAACAGTTTCAGAAGCCAACTTAAAGAAATTCAGTATTGTTAGTAAAAGAAAATTTCAATACCTTAAAACACGTTATGTTTAAAAACAATGAGAATGGAAGAGAATGGAAAGAAGATAAAACTCAACGATGATTCCTATCGTTGAGTGAGTAAGCTTGTAAAATCAAGTTGTCTTTTTCCTACAAGTCCATGCTACGGATAAAACGTCCACGTGCGAGATTAAATTTAACGATGAGTTAAAATGAGTACCTCTCGCACTATCAAGTCTCGCACATATAAATACATCATTAGAAACAAAAGAAAAAAAGATCAATTGTCTCCCGTGGGCGTAGTAAGAAATTGCAAGAGAAATATGATTCTGGATGGAAAGTCTTAGTTCACCCTTCCACAAGATTCACGGCAATATAAAAATGAGGGGCAACGTATCCGCAGTCAATGGTCTAAGGATACGGCGGCGGTATCACGCGTGCGTGCGCGCGCATGATGTTAAAAATAAATTTTGACCTGCTTATGATTCGACCAGGCATAATTTTTACTCAACACGTCTTTGGAGACGTGCTTCCGTTTCCACGCTCGCGAAGTGCAAGAACGATGCGTCTCGCGCACCTTCCTACTTTCTCTTCCTCTCTAATGCGAATTAAAGTAACGACCTTGTAGATAACATTTGTATCATAGGAAACCTTTAGATATTCGTATATTGGAATCCTTAGTGTCTCTATGGAATATAAAATAAACTGTCGAAAAGTGTGTAAAAGCGAGTTTCGAGATCGAAACATGCGCAGTGAAACTACATGAGAAACATAGTTCGTTTAGTTGTATCGCTTCTTAGTAGAGATTATTCACCACTTGTACGTGTAACCATATACACGTGCGCGCAATATACACATTTTTTCTTTCAATGCGTATATTTTCACAACCAAGTGGTCACGTTAATGCCATGCCCACTGCGAAATAAATTATGCATTCTCAGGGAAAATAAGAATCTGCGCGTATAGCTTGCAGCTTAAGGTAAACTAGAATCTGACGCAACATCGATTCTTTGTGTCGTCAGGATGCGCATCGGATCGCAAAATTCTTCCCCGTCGCCAGTGTTATACATTACATATTGGAAAGGTTCGACAGAAGAACACGCACAAAGAGCAAACGGCAAAAAGAGTACAAATATACTTAATATATTTAATTCGAAAATTGTCTCGGAGCTCTGTCGAATCTTTCGCAACGTTTTCTATTTATATATTAATATTTTTATTTGTTTCTTAGTAGATCCAAAATCAAGGAAATAGGCTCAAAAAGATTGTTGAAAGATAAAAATTTGTCAGTTATTAAAATGTAGTAAAAATAAGGTCTACTTAACGTAGTATGTAGCTTAGTGTTGTTAATCTTCCGTTAGACAGAACATTGAAAAGATTATTTGATTTTTGGGTGGACCACAGGCGCTTTGGCTGCCAACTTGGCTCGCCTCTTCGCCCCTATCTTATAAGGTGGTGTTACTAATTTGGAATCGAAGGAGAAATTTTAATCTACATAGGATTATATATATATATATATATACACACACACACACAAGGCATTCTCAATCAAAGAAATGGTCATGTTTGGTCACGTGAAAATCCTCGAGCAACTCGTGAACACATTTCCAATACAGTTTTAAGTGCAATATGTGGTTAGGAATAATGTATTATACTTTAATTGGACCCCATTTTCTACCAGATCATTTGAATGCGAACGGATATCTGGAATTTTTTAACAATGATTTTTACGATCTTTTGGAAAATATTTCTTTAAACATCAGAATGAACTCTTTGTTCAACTGGACGGCTGTCCTGCTCACTATGGCAGAGGTCCCCGACAATGGCTTAATGTTCATTTTCTCGGAAGATAGATCGGTCGTGTTAGACCTGTGGCTTGGCCTCCGCGTTCACCCCATTAGATTTAACCCTATTAGATTTTTTTGTATGAGGTGTTTTAAAACAAAAAGTATATGAAGTGACTGTTAAATGAGCTTCAATCATTACAACAGAGAATAATACATGTGTGCAATGAAATTTCAATTGCACAATATCAGTCAGCCACTCTTTCTATTATTGATAGATGCTTGATTGATAGATATCTCTGCACTGGAAGTCATCATTTTGAATAAAATATTTAATAATTACGTTAAATTGTGATTATTATGTTGAAATTACGTTAATTACTGTGAAGCAATAAAGAGGATAAATCAAATTATTTCGATATTATTCACTCCTATAGTTCAAAACTTCAATATCTCTTCAAGGAAGTATTTGCGAGCAAACTTCCAGATAAAATATTTGTTTGTTTTGAGATCCCAAATTCATATTTTAAGTTTGGCTATTTAATCCGGAAACACCCTGTGTGTATATATATATATATATATATATATATATATATATTCATACACATTATGTCCTTTCATATGAAAAATTATCATAAATTTATGTTAATAAAAAGAGATACAGATTTTCTCGTAGCAAATTTTAATTATATTCACATCATTCAACAGCATTGTAATCGATATGTATACATGTAGAAACTTTATAATTATTATCAATCTGATTACTTAGCTAGCAGAAATGCCTCAACTTTTTACAGGCGCTAAACTAATTAAATTATTCGAATTCTCAACTAATTCAGCAATACTGACCCTACCACGCTGTTGCACAAATTTAACAACCGTCTGGAGTTCATTCTCTGAAATATAAATAAATTTTCCTCTGTCATCAATTACTCCAGTTAACCTATCACAAGCTCGCAATTCTTGAATTCTCTCTATTACATTAGATGTCTTGAGGCCAAAATGTGCAGCTAAATCCTCCAAGATCAATACCTTATTCTGTTTTATATATTGGATAAATTTTTGCAACAAGTTCTCCTTGTCTTCCTTGTTTTCCTCATGATAACCTTCCTCTTCTACGCTGAATGCTTCTTTTATTCTCAAATATTCTTCGTACTCTCTTTTCTCCTTCTCCTCTCTGGCTTTTCTTTCTTCCTCCTCCATTCGTAATCTCTCCGCAAGTTCTTTCTCAGCCTGTTTATCCTTCTCCTCTCGAACAAGCTGTTCTCGCTTCTTACGTTCCTCCCTGTCTCGTTCTGCCGCTTCTCTCTGCAATTTCTTCTCCGCTTTGGCTGCCAACTTGGCTCGCTTCTTCGCCCCTATCTTATAATCCGGTAATTCTGTTTTGTCATCTGTATTGTCATTATCTTCGTCAACTATTCGATTGTCCTCATCATGTTGTTGACGATTAATGTTTCCTTGCATACGATGCCTAGCATTTCTAACACCGGCTGCTCTTCTTACCGGTTGACCCAGCGCCGCAGTATCTTGAATATCAGTTTGCTTCCTTCGAGCACCTAAATAACAAAATATAAATTTGTTTTTCTTTGCTTGTGTATGTATGTAGGAACGCATAACGATTGTTCGCAGAAACGATGTTACTTTGGAAAATTTGTCACTTAAAATTGTAAGCAATACAAGTCATTGGCATAAAAAATATTCAATTCAAACGAAACTGGCAGTGAATTACGTTCAACTGCCATTCGAAGCAAGTGATATCATGGTTCACGCAATGTAATATTTGAATCGGTTTCCGAGTTGGTGGATTCACGTACAACATGGATTCATATTCGGCGTTTCGTGAACATTTCAGTTCTCCCCTTGAGGGAGAGAAATAAGCTGAAAACGAATCCACGGTGAACGCAGATATCAACTTGAAAAGCAAAAGAAGTATATGCTATGTACAGCTATTTTGAAAATAAGTTTATAGGTTATAAGAAAAAGGAGCAATGGGTGCGAAACAACATGTATATGATACGTAAATCAATATACACCCAATATCGTATTCGACTGATGAAAAGAAGGCTGTCGTGAAACAGCAGCATACCGGTTCTGTGTCGCAGAAGGACAGTGCATATAACAATCAGGGCAACGATGACCGAAGTGGCAAATATCAATAATGTCACATCCATGTTCACTAGTTGCTGATACAATTTTGATAAGTGAGAAGAATAGAACCGCCCGCCTTTCAGTTGCACTCGCTATTTTTTCATAATCACTTTTAACAATGAATGAATATAAATGAATATCGTTATATCGCCTTTTTGCGGCCGTTTTGTTACAGTTCAGTTCGGTACGGTATATGGCTTTAGGTAGAAAGGTGTACCCATAGACATGGTAAGAATAGACTGCGCGTGTACTCTTGTGAGGACTGAAGATCAGGTAGAAAGAGACAGAAAGCAAGTGCCGAGTATCTTTCTTTCTCTGCTCACGCATGCACAGTGATGCGTAGTAATATATAACGTGTTATATACATGATGTTAGGTTAAGAAAAGTTGTGTAATGTTAAATAAAACCGTTTAAAATTTAGAGATAAATGTGTTTCAACTATTATAAACTACGTGTAAACATTTATGTTGAAACGATTAAATATTTTATACATGAATATGTGTGGAAAAGTTGTAATAAAAATATCAATATTACAAAGTAATATAATCTTTATTAAAAAAATATATATATATTTTTATATAAGTTGTTGTTTATTTATTGATTTTTGAACAAGGTTATTTTATTATTTTTCATCCGAACTCGTTGTATCGAATCTGCGAATGATGTACTTTCATGTTTTAAAATTAAATTAAAAAATGTTTTCAAAATTAATTTAATTATTTGGTTTCGGTGATCAAAAAGTGGACTTTGATCGAATATATGATTATTATAGTCAAATATATGCACAGGAATGGAGCGTACAGCCTCACATATGAGATGTGCAAGAATATTTTTATTTGTAAATAGTCTATGTTGATTACATCGTACTATTTTATATGCTATCTTACATATCGTAATCACATCATTTGATGCTTCACATAGGTTGCCTCGATCCTTTATCTGTATAAGTTTACTGGTACGCTCTATATTCAACTGTTTATATGTATTATTTGAAAGTAATTGCTTGCATTCTGAACAATTAATTCTTTTCATAATAGTTTTAGCAACATATCCTGATATGTAAGCAATGATTTCTTCAGCATATTCATTAACTTTTTTATCATGTAATACATAATTATGTTCAATAAAGATAAGATCTGAAGGTTCGTCTTCTAAAGATCTTTCTTCTAAAATAGTATCTTTGTTTTGTTCTACATGTTCGTTAATTGTCTGTATATCATTCGTAGATTCATGTGAAAGTGTTAGCAATACAGTATCATCTTGTGGAATGCAATTAGCATTCAATGAGACTGACACATTCGCTAAATGCAATATCTTTCTATATGACACCTTAAATTGCTTTACGCTAGGATTATTATTCCAACCATGCATTCTTCTAATCAATGAAAAAAAAGTTTCGATATGGTCCTGTGATAATTTATAAGTAAGAAGAAAGTTTATTGCATTTACATTAAATAATTCTTCTGCTAATGCAATAACGTTCTGCAAATTAATTATAAATCCAATGAAACCTGTTTTGAGGATGCTTTGTAATACGGGAACATCATTTATTGTTAAGGAAGCAATGTAATGCATAAAAGTTTTAGCTTTATCTTTAATAGTACATAATGTATTTCTTGTTATTGCATGTTTATTTTCAGTTTTATTGTATATGTTACGTGAATTTAAGATATCAAATATGTCATTGAAAGTTTTACAAAATGTTGCAGTAGTTGAAGCTCCTATAAATCTTGGTTCTTTTAATTCATATTCTAAAAACGTCAATGCATCAGCCACAGAATTACTTAATGTTTGTGCTGCTAGATTAACTTTCATCTTTTCATTAAAAAACTGTGTATGCCTTTTTCGCATTTTATTGGCAACATGTAATTTTTCCACAGTTTGCACATTTACTAATTCTTTCAGAAAGTTCCAACTTATTACATTTTTGTCTTTATCTTTAATAACCCCTTTACTAATTGCATTCCTCCAAGCTTCAACATGTGACATGCATCATAAAAAATATAAATATTTTTAGATTTGTCAATAGGATACTTAAAATATGGAACAATATGTTCAAAATTGACGTGTTTTAACTGTGCGCCTAGTATCTCGCATATTGCAATATTAGAAGTTGCTCCATCAAATGTAATACTAACAACGTAAATTGCTTTTTCATGGAGAATACTTAAAATGTTATTTAACAAATTTGCTTTTTCCTTATCATTTAATGCCTCGATAACATAAAATGCAATTGGGATTTTAAAATGATCATTTATGCACACTAACATAAAAAGAAGGATATGGGTAGCAAGTGGCAGACTATCAGACTTACTATCTTTAATACCCGTTTCAATAAAATCGTGTAATTCTTTGCCGTCCCAATCAACTTTTTTCTTAATATTCATTTCATCAAAAGTTATATTGAAAACTAAGTGTTTTCCTTTCTCTCTAGCATTTTGCACCTTATCGAGTTTAGTTTTAAACGATTGTTCAGATATACCGAAATTGCTACAAATTGTCTGCGTCCACATGCGCAGTGTACTGCGGTGAGGTAAACTTTTTAAAAACATTTTTCTTACATACAAATATGCTGCAGGCGAATGAAAATGTAACGTGCATGCAAAACTTTTTAAACTTTCGGGGAACGACTTTTTTCGCTTCTTATTTAACATTGTAAGTAGCAACTGTTGCATAACAGGTGACAATATATCCTAAATAAAGAAAAAGGAAGTACAAAATATAGATGTAATAACAGAAGAAATCAAGGAGACAAATGGTTGTACGCATAGACATATACATAATAACTTATTTAGAACGAAGATATAACATCATTAGTGCATTTGTAGATTTGTAGATTGAGAGGGTATATGTATACGCACAACATTTGTTATATCATATTTTTAACATGATGTAGAAATCAAGTATTGTTCTATCATTTGCTTCATTAGCATGGACCTTTCTATAAGAGTCAATATTATGATGAAGTCACATTGTGATTGGAGAGTTATCATGAACTTTTTTATAAAAGAATAAACATTGTGGACAATGTGAATTTCAAATCTTTCTGCGAATGGAAAATAGCTAAACTCAACTTACTTTGACTGCATCTATACCATTATTTGTTATAAAGTTTTTACTTTTCAGGTCCTGAAGCAAATCTTTATAAGTTAAAACTTTCTTCTGCATAAGGTTTTTCTTTTGCCACATACTTTTTGTTTCATTTCGAATATATGACACATATCTTACAAACTGCTCCCATTTTGCATCAGACACAAAATCTGTTTTACGGAAGCATTTTGTAGCATGTTTAGAAGTGTTTACAAATATTTTTTAATTTTTGAGTTTCTAAAATTCTCTTGCTATAATTTCCTGAAAATAAAATTTTGATAATTTATAATTTATTGAAATAATACTCGATAGGAAAAAATTATTTAAATCTTTAGATATCTCACTTTTTTCTACTGTGATTATTACTGTGGTTGCTATGGATATTTATGTTATTAACATCTTCTGCTACATGTGTACGTATATCTGTATCTGTGTCCGTAATGGAATTCTTACTCGTATTTTGACTATAAAACAAAAAATATTCACATACATTAATGTTTTATCTTATATATTACGATAACTTTATTTTCCCTTTTGGTGTATATCTTAGTGTATCTTTAGTGTTTCTTACCTATTTCTTTCATTGTCTATGTCATTATTTTCTGCTGTATTTGTATTTATATCTGTGCTTAAATTGGTATCTGTATCCTTCTCCACATGTTTACTACAAAATAAAATATTTCAATGTAATGGATCTATTGCATCTTCCTGTAAGATTATTACATGTATATTCTTATTTATAATTTAACATTCTCACCAATTTTCTTCCACGAAAATTAATGGAACTGCAGTCTTTCTCAATATTTTATTTTGTTTATATTCATTCATTTCATGATAGTCATTTTTTGTAAAGTGGTCACTGCATATTTTTACTCCTTTGTAAGATACATCACGGCCAATAACGTGAAACAATTTTTTCGCATTTCTTCATTTTTTGGGATTCTGTAAATTTTTTACATATATATTTCACTTATATATATGTGTATATATATTATTAATTACGATATGTTTACATTCATATTGAATACAAATATATTTTTTAAATTACTTATGAAATGATCGTGGATAAAGAGAGTTTTCTTCCACACCACAATACAGCACGCAGTAACTATTTTTTAAATTATTTTATTCCTTGTTTTCTCCGTGAATATGTATATGCTATGGTGCGTCGATGGATTCGATTAACTGTAGTCAACAAAAACTTTTAGCAACACACCAGCACTGACACAACACTGACAGAATAATCAGTTTTTCTTAAATGAAAATGCGAAACGAATGTCCGAGGCATTAGAAGGAAAGTAAAGAAATAAAGCTGCAGAGAAACGCGGACAGAGCAGTTAGAGAAGATCTTCCAATGTGATTCTAACCTTCACGCTACCCTTAATCCTGCTACGTCCGACATGCGCGTGTGATCGCAGGGAAATTAAGCGCGTAACAATACGTTGATACTAACTTTAAATAAATAAAGCAGAGCATCTCCTGAATCGTGCAGCAAATAAACTGGGAACCGACTACACACCTCTTTTCAACCGCATACAGCTGTTTCACTACTCTTTTTCGCTCCCCACTCTTTCCCCACTCCTTTCCTTGTGTGAGAGAGAAAGATAATCGGCACCTATTGTCCGTCTCTTTCTACTTGATCTTCAAGTTTTGCCCTCACACGCAGTCTATTCTTACTATGTCTATGGGTGTACCATACGCCATTCTCCTGCCGTTTTGTTACGTGTAATCAATCGAAACCTCAAGGTTCCATTCATATACCATTTGTAACGCGCTTTTCGTTTTACAGGAAAAGATAGTGCCCCAACCAATGAGCTTCAGGCTAATATTATATGCATCGTACGATAAACTCGTCGGACGTTCCAATTGGCTGTAAAATAAAGAATTTCTAAAGCGATGAGAGAAAAAATTGGAAGTCATAGAAACTCGGCTAATCGGAACGTCCGACAAGCTTGTAATATAAAGGCTCGTCTACAATAGCTGTAAAGGCCCATCTACAATGGCTGTAAGAATAAGGGGTCTATTCCTGAAACGAGGACCCTAGATATCGCATGCGATATCGCATACGATAGCAGAAATGATGGGTGTTTTCCAGCAACGGAACACAGTCATACACTGTGTGACACAGTGTTACCCAGAGAGAAGAATGAGAGCGGCCACCGGCCGCATTTCGGGGATACGGCTAGACGCATTTTAGAGACGCCATCTGACCAAAATGCGCCTAAAACTACGTCCGCTAGGCGCACTTTCACGGTGATAAAAGTAAAATGCGCCTAGGTGCGTGTCCGTACTACTTCCATGCCAATGGATAGTAGATTAGAAAAAGACAGACGACAGACAATCGTTCCGTCTTTGTCTCACTACTGAGCGGCGCGC